ATCGCTACCAGCTAGCTGCAACAAAATGGACGCTGTGGTCTGGCCCATCTCCCGGCTATCTACCTCTCTGTCAACCGGACGGGACCACCTAGTGTTGACACAGAGCCCCGCCGATCCTACACGACTGGTCTGCCGACGAAATCGTCTGATGTGGTTACGACGTCGACCACGAAGATTCCATCTGCTAGCCCCGGCCCGCTAGCACACGCTAGCCGTGGCCTCTTACTCGCTAGTGCTTTAGCAGCCTCCGAACTATCCTATTGCTGTTCACCGGACCTTATGATAACTCAGCTATACAGCTGATGTCTGCTGGACTGTTCCTTTTTACGGTACTACATCCTGTTTATGTTTAGCCTCAGCCCAAACATGGTTAGCTTATTGTTGTTTCGGTTATTTCTAATTGTACTATTTCACTGTAGATCCCCCAGCCCAGCTAAACCTGCCTTAGATAGCTCCTTTGTCCCACCCCCCATACACGCGGAGACCGACTCAATTGGTGCCTCCAGTGATGCTATCTCTTTCATTGTTACCCAACGCTTAGGTTTACCTCCACTTTACTCATATCCTTCCATATCCTTGTCTGTACATAATGCCCTGAATCTTTTCTACAACACCCGGAAATCTGCCCCCTTTATTCTATGTACCCAACGCACTAGAAGACCAGTTCTTAAAGCCTTTAGCCGTATCCTTATTCTAGTCCTCCTCTGTTCCTCTGGTGATGTAGAGGCTAACCCAGGCCCTGCAGCCCTCAGTATCACTCCTACTCCCCAGGCGCTATCATTTGCTGACTTCTGTAATCGCAAAAGTCTTGGTTTCTTGCACGTAAATATCAGAAGTCTACTTCCTAAGTTTGAGTTATTCACTGCGTTAGCACACTCCGCCAACCCTGATGTTCTAGCAGTGTCTGAATCCTGGCTCAGGAAGGCCACCAAAAATTCTGAAATTTCCATCCCCAACTATAACATTTTCCGTCTAGATAGAACTGCCAAAGGGGGTGGAGTTGCATCTACTGTAGAGATACCTGCAGAGCTCTATCATACTATCCAGGTCTGTGCCCAAACAGTTTGAGCTTCTACTTCTAAAAATCCACCTTTCCAGAAATAAGTCTCTCACTGTTGCCGCTTGCTACAGACCCCCCTCAGCCCCCATCTGTGCCCTGGACACCATATGTGAATTGATTGCCCCCCATTTATCCTCAGAGTTCGTACTGCTTGGTGACCTAAATTGGGATATGCTTAATACCCCGGCCATCCTACAATCCAAACTAGATGCCCTCAATCTCACGCAAATTATCAACGAACCTACCAGGTACAACCCTAAATCCGTAAACATGGGTACCCTCATAGATATCATCCTGACTAACATACCCTCTAAATACACCTCAGCTGTATTCAACCAGGATCTCAGCGATCACTGCCTTATTGCCTGCGTCCGTAACGGGTCCGTGGTCAAACGACCACCCCTCATCACTGTCAAACGCTCCCTAAAACACTTTAGCGAGCAGGCCTTCCTAATTGACCTGGCCCAGGTATCCTGGATGGATATAGATCTCATTCCGTCAGTAGAGGATGCCTGGTTGTTCCTTAAAAGTAATTTCCGCTCAATCTTAAATAAACATGCCCCATTCAAAAAATACAGAACTAAGAACCGATATAGCCCCTGGTTCTCCTCAGACTTGACTGCCCTTGACCAGCACAAAAACATCCTGTGGCGTACTGCATTAGCATCAAATAGCCCCCGCGATATGCAACTTTTCAGGGAAGTTAGGAACCAATATACACAAGCAGTCAGGAAAGCAAAGGCTAACTTTTTCAAACAGAAATTTGCATCCTGTAGCACTAACTCCAAAAAGTTTTGGGACACTGTAAAGTCCATGGAGAATAAGAGCACTTCCTCCCAGTTGCCCACTGCACTGAGGCTAGGAAACACTATCACCACCGATAAATCTACAATAATCGAGAATTTCAACAAGCATTTTGCTACGGCTGGCCATGCTTTCCATCTGGCTACCACTACCCCGGCCACCAACTCTGCATCCTCCTCTGCAACTTGCCCATGCCCCCCCCCCGCTTCTCCTTCACACAAATTCAGACAGCTGATGTTCTGAAAGAGCTGCAAAATCTGGACCCCTACAAATCAGCTGGGCTAGACAATCTGGACCCTTTCTTTCTAAAACTAGCCGCCGAAATTGTCGCAACCCCTATTACTAGTCTGTTCAACCTCTCTTTCATAACGTCTGAGATCCCCAGAGATTGGAAAGCTGCCGCGGTCATCCCCCTCTTCAAAGGGGGTGACACTCTAGATCCAAACTGCTACAGACCTATATCCATCCTGCCCTGCCTTTCGAAAGTATTTGAAAGCCAAGTTAACAAACAGATCACCGACCATTTCGAATACCACCGTACCTTCTCCGCTATGCAATCCGGTTTCCGAGCTGGTCATGGGTGCACTTCAGCCACGCTCAAGGTCCTAAACGATATTATAACCGCGATTGATAATAGACAGTACTGTGCAGCCGTCTTCATCGACCTGGCCAAGGCTTTCGACTCTGTCAACCACTGCATTCTTATTGGCAGACTAAATAGCCTTGGTTTCTCAAATGACTGCCTCGCCTGGTTCACCAACTACTTCTCAGATAGAGTTCAGTGTGTCAAATCGGAGGGCCTGTTGTCTGGACCTATGGCAGTCTCTATGGGGGTGCCACAGGGTTCAATTCTTGGGCCGACACTTTTCTCTGTGTATATCAATGATGTCGCTCTTGCTGCTGGTGACTCTCAGATCCACCTCTACGCAGACGACACCATTTTGTATACATCTGGCCCTTCATTGGACACTGTGTTAACAAACCTCCAAACAAGCTTCAATGCCATACAACACTCCTTCAGTAGCCTCCAACTGCTCTTAAACACTAGTAAAACTAAATGCATGCTTTTCAATCGACCGCTGCTGGCACCCGCCCACCCGACTAGAATCACCACTCTCGACGGGTCTGACCTAGAGTATGTGGACAACTACAAATACCTAGGTGCCTGGTTAGACTGTAAACTCTCCTTCCAGACTCACATAAAGAATCTCCAATCCAAAGTTAAATCTAGAATCGGCTTCCTATTTCGCAACAAAGCCTCCTTCACTCATGCTGCCAAACATGCCCTCGTAAAACCGACTATTCTACCGATCCTTGACTTCGGCGACGTCATTTACAAAATAGCCTCCAACACTCTACTCAGCAAATTGGATGTAGTCTATCACAGTGCCATCCGTTTTGTCTCCAAAGCCCCATACACTACCCACCACTGTGACCTGTACGCTCTTGTTGGCTGGTCCTCACTACATGTCCGTCGTCAAACCCACTGGCTCCAGGCCATCTATAAATCACTGCTAGGCAAATCCCTGCCTTATCTTAGCTCATTGGTCACCATAGCAGCACCCACCCGTAGTCTGCGCTCCAGCAGGTATATCTCACTGGTCATTCCCAAAGCCAACACCTCCTTTGGCCGCCATTCCTTCCAGTTCTCTGCTGCCAATGACTGGAACGAATTGCAAAAATCTCTGAAGCTGGAGACTCTTATCTCCCTCACTAACTTTAAGCATCAGTTGTCAGAGCACCTTACCGATCACTGCACCTGTACACAGCCCATCTGAAATTAGCCCACCCAACTACCTCATCCCTATATTGTTATTTATTTTGCTCTTTTGCACCCCAGTATCTCTATTTGCACATAATCTCTTGCACATCTAGCATTCCAGTGTTAATACTATTGTAATTATTTTGCACTATAGCCTATTTATTGCCTTACCTCCATAACTTGCTACATTTGCACACACTGTATATATAATATAATATAATAATTTTCTGTTGTATTTTTGACTTTATGTTTTTTTTACCCCATATTTACATTTACATTTACATTTACGTCATTTAGCAGACGCTCTTATCCAGAGCGACTTACAGTTGCTCTTTGTTGTTTTTATCGCACTGCTTTGCTTTATCTTGGCCAGGTCGCAGTTGTAAATGAGAACTTGTTCTCAACTGGCTTACCTGGTTAAATAAAGGTGAAATAAAAAATAAAAAAATAAAAAATTTATATATTCTTAAATTCCATTCCTTACTAGATGTGTGTGTATTGGGTATATGTTGTGAAATTGTTGGATATTACTTGTTAGATATTACTGCACTGTCGGAGCTAGAAGCACAAGCATTTCTCTACACCCGCAATAACATCTGCTAAACACGTGTATGTGACAAATAAGATTTGATTTGATTTGATTTGAAATAAAGCCATGTTCAACCAGATACTCTTCTCATGGGGAGTCATAGTTTAATGGAACAGTACCGAGGGAGGCATCATCTAATATAACAGTTCCATTAAACAAAGCCTCCCATCAGAACACGCCTTACATACAATGAAACAGTCAGTAATAAAAAGACAACTTCTAACCACCAGAACTGTTCAACTTTATTTGCAAATAAATGTCCGCTTTAAATGGCCTCTTACAATGTACCACCAGTGTCCCCAAGTGTTTAAAGAATATATTTCAGGTGAACTTGTTAATACTGGCCAGCCGATGGCGCTGTTGGACCGTACATTATTAGAGCTGAGGCGATGTCAGGATTTCCAACATGTTGTTTACTGCCTGTGAGTAATTTATCAACTATGGATGAAGCAAAGGGGAAAAGACAAGTTCTGCTATTGTCATGTTTGTTAATTTATTAATATTAAATCAACTCGTCTTTTTGCGTGTAAAGGCTCATACTTACCACAATTATAAATTGGACAAAATTAAAAACAATTCCAAAAGCACCAAGTTTAGGCCTTTTACAGTGCACTGTCAATCATTTTTAACAACGCATGACTGTACTATGGCTCCTGTAGGTATGTATGTAATGAGCATGAAATTAACATTATCTCATGTCCATCTCAGAATCACCGCATATTGCGAGGCAAGTCACGAGGAGGTTCAAGGGCATTAATTCACTCTAATAGGCTTATTCCAAGCCAGGAAGCCAACCTGCTGCCGTTACCTTGTCCACATATCCACTGCAACATTTTATTTTAATATGTTAGATTAAATTGCGGCGAGAAATGGTAGAAACTGTCGACGATATCTCGAGGGTGTAGGTAGCCTGTACCGAATACATTTTAACCTTAGGATCGGATGTTTTAAGTGGGACACATGGGCCTGTTAGATAAACTTTCGGGATGGCTGGGACTGAAGAAGAAAGAAGTGAACGTATTGTGTTTGGGACTCGACAACAGCGGGAAAACTACCATCATCAACCAACTCAAACCCACTAATGTAAGTCCACTGACATGGCCCAACTATAATATAGGCCTACTCTAGGCCATTGACTGATGTATTTGATTGCGCTCTAAATTGTAACTTGTTGAGGTGATGGCCTACTGTAGCCCGCGCGCGGGCCTGTCAGTGGAAAGCTGTTTGTGGAAAGATACAGAGTTCTATATCTTGAGAGTTAGCTGAGTCTTAGAGATTTTGCTTATATATAAAAGCTGTGAGTGTCATCGCATCGATTGCACTGCAATCATCCACTGATTGCTTGTTTTCAGCAAAGCTTATTTGGCCCACTCTCAGACGACTGGAAACATGTTAGTCAGGTAAAGGTCAGTACAGCCTATTTCACCCTATTTTACCATTTATTTTGACACAGTTAAGTTACTGTTTTTTTGTCTGTGTTTGTTATTTTGTGTGTGTGTGTGTGTCTCTGTGTGTGTGTATTACAGACCCAGACACAAGACATTGTCCCAACTATTGGCTTCAACATCGAAAAATTCAAGAGTTCAAGGTAGTAATTTACTTCTTATGTAAACGTTGTTTAACTTAGTGAACCAGATGAAAGTAATAAGAATTATATTATTTGATACTTACTCCATTGTGTATGTTCATGCGTAACATGTATGTTGTGTCTCTACAAAGTTTGTCCTTCACAGTTTTTGACATGTCTGGTCAGAGCAGATACAGAAACCTATGGGAACATTACTACAAGTAAGACTTTACACCGGCAATGTTTATCTAGAACTGCATTATATGATAGTAAATGTTTTGCCAGTGGTGCCTTACCTCTGATCTTTGAGTAACCAAGTATTGCCTGTAGAGCAGTTTTACCCTAACCCTATCTCCAACTAATAGTTATTAGTGATGTAGAGATCAGATTCACTGTTGTTTATCCAGTTTCTTGTTGATTACATAATTTTCTGTTGTGGTGTCCACAGAGAGAGTCACGCCATCATATTTGTCATCGATAGCGGAGATAAGTTACGAATGGTCGTTGCCAAAGAGGAACTGGATACTCTTCTCAATCACCAAGGTCAGAGAATGAGAGAGAGAGACAGAGAGAAATGAAGAGGGGGGGGGGGGGGGGGGGGGGGGGGGGGGGGGGGGAGACAGACAGACAGACAGACAGACAGACAGACAGAGAGCCAACAGTTTCTTCACCCGTTCTCCTGATTCCTGCTCCTTCCAGACATCCGCAGTAGGAGGTTGCCAGTGCTGTTCTTTGCTAATAAGAGTGACCTGAGAGAAGCCATGTCTTTAGTCAAAGTCTCTCAGCTGCTCTGTCTGGAGAACATCAAGGACAAACCCTGGCACATCTGGTAGGACACAACTTTATCCTACACACACACACACACACACAAGTAGGTACAGATACATACACAGTGATATTGGGATAGGTTACTAGCTTCTGTCCCTCCGTTTTAGTGCCAGTAATGCTGTAAAAGGAGAGGGCCTACAGGAGGGGGTGGACTGGCTACAAGGTACAGTACTGTGTGTGTGTGTAGATTACTTTTTTCTAAGGTAATTTTGGCACCAATATTGAATTGTTCTGTTTTGTTCCAACTTACCCATAGAGCAAATTGCACAGTAAGTATCATGGTGAACTCACATTAGTTTATGTCACTGTGGTGGACTTGGTGAAGTACAGATGGATGTTGTTGATGACTTAGGAACAGGGGAGACTGTATTTAGTCTAAAACACTGTAATTATGTGATTCTAACAGGTATAATGTTGACGTATGGGTAACGATGATTAAACTCCCCTATTCTTAACTCTAGTGCCGTACTGTTCTAGGTGTTTTGTGGAACTTCAGGTCTTATTGTTCAGGCTGTTTGTTGTAACTTTAATCTCATGAAATGTCCATATCTTTATAAACAGATCATATCAAAACAATGAAGATTTGATTAAATAAAATGGATGAAATGCTTGATGAAGGATCGTGACGGCGAGAAGAGAGAGGAGCCTCAGTGACTACAGCATGGCTCCTCCAACCGGGCGTGTCATTGGTTATCTGATGTCAGTATTTATACGGTGCAAGGGAATCACTTGTTTCCCCTTTCTATTTGTTACTCTGTCATAATGCCTACTGTATGATACTGTTGTAAAGTGTTGATGTGAAGTGTTGCTGAACAGCTTGTTGCAGTGTTGATAGAGACCACCCTCCGAGATTGTTTCAGTGTTATTCAAAGTTACAGCACGTGATGTATAACTGTGCTGTCTGAATGTGGAAAGATATGATTAATGTATTCTGTTGTAAAAATGTTACCCTCTACATTTCTGAGCTGTACTTAATGCTTGTTTTTTTATGCCATTTAATGTGCTGTGAATATTTTTCAGACATATTACACCAGTCAGTGCTAAATATATTTATATATATTGGGATGTTTTAATGAAAACAATAAAAAGGCTTGGTATTTGCTTGATTTGTAGTCTTGTCCTTTTCATCAAAGGGGGTGACAAGTTATCTTTCTATTTGCTGGCTCTTTATGTTTATTGGTCTTACATAGTAAGTGGAGATAATAGTGAATCAACACTGCAGACTGCAAAGGCTATTTTAATAATTTATGCAAAAACATGAGTTTCAGCTTCCATCAACACAGAAGCATCAAGTACAATCAATGCATCATAACCCTTATACTGTACAAGTTGAACACTTTTATGAAATGCTAATAAATAGTTGCAAACTTATGTTAATAAATCTATAAATATAATTAAATAAATACTCCTTTACAGGATACCAAGATTTTAAAGCAGTTAATTTACAAACGTATAAATAAGCTGTATAACAAAAGTATAAAAGTGTAATGATGTGAATACTGTTGACAAAGGGAGAAAGAACCCTTCATTTTCCCTATCGTCTTGGACAACCTTCACTCTTTATATCCCTCTATCAGCTCAAACTCAACCCTTGAGATGATCATTTCCCTGACAGTGTCCCTACTCTCTCCTTTTCTTCTATCTCTTATCCCCTCACTCTTCCTTTTATCTCTCCAGCCCCTCACGTCCTTTCTTTTCTCTTTCCTCAATCCTTCTTGAGGAACATGTAGACTATCTCAGTGTGGAAGTGAGCGCTGGCATTCAGGAGGCTCTGGAAGGTCTCCATGTCCTCATGACGGTTACCTGAGAGAGAGAGGGAGAGAGAGAGGAAGATTACTGACAGTACAGACAAAGGCCATATGACTACCTGGGACCAAACATAGTGAACCACCTGCCCTGTCCTCACCTGCCATGACAACCTCGTACATCTCCATGGTAACCTCTGAGAACATGTTCTCAATGCTCTGGATGAACGACCACCTGTCCGACGGCGACAAGAACACCTGGCACACCTGCTGCACCATCCTCACCGACCAGTTCATACAGTAGCCGTCCTTCTCACACACCTACAATATACACACATATGATACTTAAGCAATAAGGCATGAGGGGGTGTGGTATATGGTCAATATACCACGGCTAAGGGCTGTTCTTAGGGACGACACAACACGGAGTGCCTAGATACAGCCCTTAGCCGTGGTATATTGGCCATATACCACAAACCCCCGAGGTGCCTTATTGCTATTATAAACTGGTTACCAACGTAATTAGAGCAGTAAATATACAAGTTTTGTCATACCCGTGGTATGCATTCCTATAACACACACACACCAGTTCATACTAGCCATCCTTCTCACACACACAGATGTGTACTGACCAGTATGAGGTAGACAAGGAGTCGTGAGATCTCAAAGAGGCGTCCGTTGAGAGCCTTGCTAGCCAGAATGCTGTAACACAGACTGTTCCCACACAGGATCAACAGCCTGGCCACACTCTCTACATGCCACACCTGGGGGAGCACTGGGGAGACCAAAGAGCTATGATGAGCACAACGAAGATGCTGTGTGCACCTGAATAAAGGTGTGTGTATGTGTGTGCGTGAGTGTGTGCATGTGTTTGTGTTAAGGTATGGTAGCCCTTTCCTGCAGTCAATTACAAAAAGCGCCCTCTTTCGCCTCATGGGTGGAATGTTATTAATATTTTTCATAATTTCATAATTAATAAATACTATTAATTTTTTTAAATATGAAAATCCGGTGTTTCTATGTCAAACAGTTTTGTTATATTTCAATATTCTGTGATGTATATAAAGTGTAATATTGGGATGCAAACTCAAAATGTAATACATTTCAACTCTATATCTGACATGGTACAGGGGTCTTCTTTTTCTTAAGCCCATGTGTGTGAGGTGTATACTTTTGTTTCAAAGTAGATTTGTTTAAGACTACCAAGAATCACTCTGTGTGACCGTGATTTAACCCACTACAGTAAAAGGTTAAAGTGTGTCTACCTGTGAGTTCCTCCAGTATGGCCAGTACAGTGTCAGTGGTCCAGTCTCTAGCCTCCAGGTCACTGTGGAGCAGGATCACAGCTTTGGCCAGGTCCCACAGAGAACACTGGGCTACTCCTGCACCCAGCTGCTCCTGCCAGCCCAGAGAACCTGGACAAAATAATACAGACTGTTAATACACACACACATACAAACACATTATCTTCATACACTCTACCATGGGTCAGGGTTGGAGGATGTACACACACACACAACCACACTGCATACTAACCATCAGGCAGCCGTGGTCCGTAGAGTATGAACAGTAGCCTGGCCTGTGAGACCATGGGCCAGGACTGGAGGATCCTGGTGAGCCAGAACAGAGTGTCTCTACGGCTGCTCCATGGCTCCAACAGAACCTGGCGACAGAACCCACGGATCTGCAGCTCCAACCGCTGACACGCTCCTAGACACAGATGGGAAACATTATACTCTCTCTCTCTTTTCTCCTCACACCCTCTCTATCTGAATTAGGGACAGACACTCACCTGGCTTTCCGGTGACGACCAACTCGATCTTGCGGGGAAGGTTTGTGAAGTCGCACAGGAAGTTGAAGACCCGGTGACACTCCAGCTCATCCCAGCCCGCAATCAACGTCTGTCAGTCAAACAGCAATGATCTGTTACATATCCTTGTTTTACCTTGTTTTGTCTTGTGTGTTTCATAGGTATTTGTCTTTTGAAACTACTTTAGGGTCTCACCTGCAGGAAAACTCCGTAACTGGAGAAGAAAGGGCAGCCTGTTGAGGCAGTGCACTGCTCCATCATGAAGCACGGGACCTGAGAGGCAGGGAGAGACTGGTGGTCTTTGAAAGTCTATGCTCAGGGCTCTCCAACCCTGTTACTGGAGAGCTACCGTCCTGTAGGATTTTACTCCAACCATAATCTAGCACACCTAATTCTAATAATTTGCTGGTTGATTAGCTGAATCAGGTTAGTCACAACTGAAAACCTACAGGAGAATAGCTCTCTAGGAACAGGGTTGGAGCCCTGATCTACAGTATGTAGGCCTTACTACACTGAACAAAAATATACACGCAACATGTAAAGTGTTGGTCCCATGTTTCATGAGCTGAAATAAAAAATCCCTGACATTTTTCATACACAACAAAAAGCGTATTTCTCTCAAATGTTGTGCACAAATTTGTTTACATCCCTGTTAGTGAGCATTTCTCCTTAGCCAAGATAATCCATCCACCTGACAGGTGTGGCATATCAAGAAGCTGATTAAACAGCATGATCATTACACAGGTGCACCTTGTGCTGGGGACAATAAACGCCTACTTTAAAATGTGAGGAGTATTTCTGTCTGTAATGGGGAAAAACTCATTCTAATTGGCTGGGCCTGGCTCCCCAGTGGGTGGGCCTGGCTGTCAAGTGGGTGGGCCTATGACCTCCAAGGCCCACCCATGGCTGCACCACTGCCCAGTCATGTGAAAGCAATAGATTAGGGCCTAATGAATTTATTTCAATTGACTGATTTCCTCATATGAACTGTAACTCCGTAAAATCTTTGAAATTGTTGCGTTTATATTTTTGTTCAGCATAGAATTTCACAATCTGTTTTATAATGATTAACTGGTTCTTTTGTCTTTTTTTTGTTATTGAAATGTGTAACAACTCATGCTTTACTACAGTAGCTTAGCAACGTTGGTAAATATCCTTATCATTCATTTCCATAACCTTATCTATCTCCCTCACCTCTCTGTCTTACCTGGGAGAACTTGCTATATATAAACTTCAACCTGTCCTTTGTAGGTAGCAACAGGGTACACCTCTTGAACAACAACCCTGAGACAACGAGCAGAAACAAACAACAAGAAGGTGACACCCTGACTACATCTGTTTCTCAATCCTGAATGAATAAAGTTTGACATAACACTTACAGTAAGGGAAAAAAGTTTTTGATCCCCTGCTGATTTTGTACATTTGCCCACTGACAAAGACATGATCAGTCTATCATTTTAATGGTAGGTTTATTTGAACAGTGACAGACAGAATAACAACAACAAAATCCAGAAAAACGCATGTCAAAAGTGTTATAAATTGTATTTGACCCCTATGCAAAACATGACTTAGTACTTGGTGGCAAAACCCTTGTTGGCAATCACAGAGGTCAGACGTTTCTTGTAGTTGGCCACCAGGTTTGCACACATCTCAGGAGGGATTTTGTTCCACTCCTCTTTGCAGATCTTCTCCAAGTCATTAAGGTTTCGAGGCTGACGTTTGGCAACTCAAACCTTCAGCTCCCTCCACAGATTTTCTATGGGATTAAGGTCTGGAGACTGGCTAGGCCACTCCAGGTCTTTAATGTGCCTCTTCTTCAGCCACTCCTTTGTTGCCTTGGCTGTGTGTTTTGGGTCATTGTCATGCTGGAATACCCATCCACGACCCATTTCAATGCCCTGGCTGAGGGAAGGAGGTTCTCACCCAAGATTTGACGGTACATGGCCCCGTCCATCGTCCCTTTGATGCGATGAAGTTGTCCTGTCCCCTTAGCAGAAAAACACCCCCAAAGCATAATGTTTCCACCTCCATGTTTGACGGTGAGGATGGAGTTCGCGGGGTCATAGGCAGCATTCCTCCTCCTCCAAACACGGCGAGTTGAGCTGATGCCAAAGAGCTCAATTTTGGTCTCATCTGACCACAACACTTTCACCCAGTTCTCCTCTGAATCATTCAGATGTTCATTGGCAAACTTCAGACGGCCCTGTATATGTGCTTTCTTGAGCAGGGGGACCTTGCGGGCGCTGCAGGATTTCAGTCCTTCACGGCATAGTGTGTTATCAATTGTTTTCTTGGTGACTATGGTCCCAGCTGCCTTGAGATCATTGACAAGATCCTCCCGTGTAGTTCTGGGCTCATTCCTCACCGTTCTCATGATCATTGCAACTCCACGAGGTGAGATCTTGCATGGAGCCCCAGGCCGAGGGAGATTGACAGTTATTTTGTGTTTCTTCCATTTGCAAATAATCGCACCAACTGTTATCACCTTCTCACCAAGCTGCTTGCCGATGGTTTTGTAGCCCATTCCAGCCTTGTGTAGGTCTACAATCTTGTCCCTGACATCCTTGGAGAGCTCTTTGGTCTTGGCCATGGTGGAGAGTTTGGAATCTGATTGATTGATTGCTTCTGTGTGACAGGTGTCTTTTATACAGGTAACAAACTGAGATTAGGAGCACTCCCTTTAAGAGTGTGCTCCTAATCTCAGCTCGTTACCTGTATAAAAGACACCTGGGAGCCAGAAATCTTTCTGATTGAGAGGGGGTCAAATACTTATTTCTTGCATTAAAATGCAAATCAATTTATAACATTTTTGACATTCGTTTTTCTGGATTTTTTTGTTGTTATTCTGTCTCTCACTGTTCAAATAAACCTACCAATAAAATTATAGACTGATCATTTCTTTGTCAGTGGGCAAACGTACAAAATCAGCAGGGGATCAAATACTTTTTTCCCTCACTGTACATGACTAAATATAACTTATAGACAGTTATCTTGAGGTAGCCTAGAGTGTATTATGAAAATGCTGTGTTTGACTTCATATTCCTGCCTATAGGCTGTACCTACTACCTACCCAGACCTTTGTAGTGTCCCAGGGTGGCGGGGTCCTCTTTAGGAGGAGAGGAGGGAGAGGAGCAGTTGTGGAGCTTCTGTAGGATCATTCTGTTCCTCCAGGTCTGAGTAGAGATGTGATTCACAATGTAGCGACTGATGGCCTTGGACACCATGCTGAACACACTGATCTCAAGCACTGTAACACACAGAGGCATGCGGGTCAAATCACACACACATGGACACATAAGTTAGCTAGCTAGCCTAGTAGAAGACATGACTGGAAAGAGTCATTAGGTCAATGACAATCAATGATGAACATTGACAGGCCAGCCAGCCTTCCTTCCTTCCCTCCTCTCCCTTCCTCCATTCATTGTATTTAAACCAGCTAGCTAGTTAGACCTACCAGAGAGTCTGTCCAGGACCATGTCAAAGACCTCTGCGGGCAGCCTCTCGAAGAAGCAGCCACTGGCCATGCCCTGACTCCGGGTCTTGATGGTTCTCACCGGGTAGGGCTGGCGGCGGGACCGTCGGCGGTGGAACTTCTGGGTCATGGTGAATTTCCTAGTAACTGCCGCCATCGCCACAAAACTGTCCGGCCGCTATTGACCCGAGGATAAACTACAAATGGAATATCATTTAGCAAGGAGAATTGATTCATTTCCAAAGAGAACAACATCAAAGACAGCTGTCAACTTTAAGAGTGAACTAGCTAGCTAACGTTAGCAAGCTAGCTGTCATTTGCCTGGCTTTACCTTTAGCTTTTGGCTGCGAAAACGACTCCAACAATAAACTTGTGAACTCTCTTTGGACTTCTACTATTCTTTTTATCATAGACTAGAAAGTGAATATTTTAGCTAGCTAGCTAATTGTCAAGTGCTTAGAAGGAACGTTCCCTGAGGCAGAGGTATGCCGAGAGACAGACTTGCTTGTTTTTGGCGACCCCTCGCGAGCACTTTGTGAGTGAAACAGTTCTGCCGCGAATTACTCATCTCGCGCCAAATGATAACCATCCCTTCCATCAAATGTTTCTGAATGTTTTTGTGCTGACTCTCAGATTTACTTTTGTAATGTCATGTAAACGTGCGATAACCTGCATGTGTGCCTATAATCCCCATCCCTCTCATGTAGGCTAGTCTAATTATTAGTTTAACATGACATGAGCAGATTATTTTTGAAAGCCTTATGCTGTTTTTAGATATACTGTAACAGTAGCCTATGAATAAACTGATTAGAATGTCAAATTTTTAGACCTTATCTGGTGCTTACAATGATCAATCAAATATAAATGTCCTATTTGTTGTCCTAGAAGCAGATAATAAACACCTCATTACAGACAGAGGCCCAATAGTTCGTAGCCTTTCCTTGAGTTGTGGCCCAGCACAGCTCCCTAATGCATGGGGGATTACTCTGCTTCCCCTAAGGCTATTAACTCCTCAGTATTCATATGGCATCTCCCTCTGGAAGAGATACACAGGACACATAATCCTATAAGACAGACTGACACAGGGCAGGATGGGCTGCTCTAGGCTGCTAGAAAGGCTACTGCTAGGCTACTGTATGGAGGAATGACAGCCAGATTGGGAATGTAGCCTTGTGTGCCTGTCTTCTATAGCCTCAGTAGACACAAGTTTAGTGAACGGGACTAAGAATATAGTGGCAGATTGTCTATCACTGACCAGATCAAGAGCAACCAGCAGATTTGGACGAGCTCACACCACATGGGATCTCCTGTACAGCAGGTACTGTACTTATGTGTCACTCTGTTGTCCCATGGTAAGAGCTAAGGCATGATCATTTATAATACTTTCATTATCTGCAATTGTCTTCTTTAAATACTGCACTGTCATCAAACATTTTCAATGGTGTTTTGTTGTTTACATCTTCCTGTTTGTTGTTGTTGACAGATCCCCATGTTGACTGGTGAGGAGGAGGAGGACCATGCAGTGGGATGATGCCCTCCCTCTTCCCCTGGGGCAGGAACTATGTTTGCATTGAACCCTGATAGAGCTGATGTCGAGCTACACCATACCGAGCCACACTGCGTCACATTACTGACAGACGGTTGTCACCTCCCTGACAAGACAATAAGAACACACACATACCCATACACTGCCCCCACTTGGACACGGAAGCAGAGGCGACACTGGTGATAGAGGGAAAGAGAGAGCGAGAGAGAGCAAGCAGACAGAGAGCTGGTCTGGGCTGTGGCGTGCATCATTGACAAGCCTTTTAACTATAGAGAGGCAGATAAATGCTTTGTATCATGGGTCTGTGAGTCTGCATAGAACACACAAACATAGACTGCCAGCCGCTACCCGCCTCCTGCAGCAGTGGACAGCACCCGGCTGGATATGTATGTCCAGGTAAGAAGGAAAGAGGAGGGGTGTATGTGTTGAGTAAATCACTTTGAAAAATGAAGTGTTGGGGTTCTTATTTTGTAGCTTTGTATAATATGTGGTACGTGCATGGAAAAGTAAAGTTTGAACTCACGTGAGCAGTAGCCAACAACATGTTCATCTGTTGTTCTATTGTGTGGGTGTCTCCTCCCTTACAGAATCCATCATTAAACACAAAGAGCATTCTGTTCCCAGTGTCCCAGTGAGGAATGGAACTGCTGTGCTTTGATAGAGTATAAAAAGAGTATAATGGTGACGGTTTTGTTTCAAGATTGGTGGTAGATGAATAAAAACTGGAAAGTGGAGTGGAAAGTGAAACATCATACTATCAACTTTAATCCCTCTGAATGAGGCAAAGGAGAACTGTAGTAGTCTAAATTAAATGTGAGAAATCCTGTGATATTTAGGCCTATATGTATAACGCAGAATAGCAACGGCATGTGTTTAGTTCTGAGGTGTTCATTCTATTTTGGATCAGACATGTCTGGAGCCTGCAGGCCTCCTGTCTGTCACTGTCCAGAGTTTGTGTGTGTATGTGTGTGACCCACTGGCAGCAGTAGAATCATATCAGGACTCTGATCCCATATGGCAGAAGCTTCAACACATTATCTACACTCTTTGAAAAAAGGTTCCAAATGGTTCCCCATAGGAGCACCCTTTTTGGTTCCATGTAGAAAGGAAAGGATTCTACCTGGAACCAAAAAGGGTTCTTCAAAGGGTTCTACTATGGGGATAGCTGAAGAACTTTAGATTCTAGATAGCACCTTTTTTTGTGTATCGACAACGCCCCCTCTCTCCTCCACTTCTTCAGATAATAATGTTTTATTACTTTATGCTTTATGACACAATCAACTTAGCTGTGACTTTTAATATTACTGCCATTTGTTGTGGTCCTCTGTAGCTCAATTGGTAGAGCATGGCGCTTGTAACGCCAGGGTAGTGGATTCGATCCCCGGGACCACCCATACCTAAAAATGTATGCACGCATGACTGTAAGTCGCTATGGATAAAAGCATCTGCTAAATGGCATATTATATTATTATATTTTAAACAAAGATAGTGGGTGTGGCAATGTGTGTTTTATTGTTCACTAGATCCATAGCCCTCTCCTGTCTGCATTCTTCAAATCACAATAAAAGTTGTTTTCCAAAGTAAGTTATATAAGATGAAGGAGAGGACAAGGGAAAACAGAGTTAGTGAAAGTCAAAGCTTATCTACCCTTGGGTTCCCAACACTTAAATATCTAAACTACAGTATCTGCACCTCAGAGGCCCTTCCAAGAATCTCAATTTAATCAAACTTGCTGTGCAGTATTCATCCAGTAGCATATTAATGTAATTGTGTCCTGTAGTCAAATAAAATGAGGAGGTACAATATATATATATATATATATATATATATATATATATATATATATATATATATATATATATATATATATATGCCATTTAGCAGACGCTTTTATCCAAAGCGACATAGAGTCATGCGTGTATACATTTTACATATGGGTGATCCTGGGAATCAATCTCACTATCCTGACATTACAAGCACCATCCTCTACCAACTGAGCTACATGCAAATGATTTGATGAAGCTTGTGACTAAATTACACATTTACCACTTTTTTAGGGTTCAATATTCCAACTGCATGTTACATATCATCAGTGATAAAATTCCAATGAGCTAGCCAAATCAAACAGTATGAGTAGCCTTCAATAAAATGAGTTTTATTGTACATGGTGAAATTCCATTATCTATTACGGACCAGCTGAATGCTTCTCATTAAGTCGTTTCAGTGTTTCTAAACAAGGGGTTATAAAACAGTCTCTCAGTCTCATTTAGAAGTTAGTGGTTTGTAACATTCAACTCACCTGAGTGTTGGTTTCTGTGAATGTTTAATCATGTGTGTTCTCCACAGGGGCAGCGGGACAGTCACAGTCACAGAGAGACTAGCTAGCTGAGCCCAGAGGACCACAATCAACAGGTGGAGCTGAACGAATAAGCTATTAGTCACAGGCTCAGCCAACGAGACCAGGGACAGAAGCATCAGTAGAAGGCCCTGTTAGTGAGAGCTCTAGAGAGCATACAGAAGCCACAGCCATTGTTTAAAACAACTCCAGAGACAACAACTGAAGCCTTGCCCCAGAGACTGAAGTCACTGCATAGAGCTCCGGAGACAACACTGAAGCCAGCGAAACCACAACCCCTGAGCCCCAAAGAGACCACCACTGCGGGATGGCTTCAACACTGTGACTGACTCTAGACCCACTGTAGTTCCAACTGTACAGCTGGGAACCAGAGCTAAAGGAGAATAATAGGATACTAAACTCACGTCTCAAAGGGATTCTTGTGTGTTTGTCTGTGTGGCTGTGTGTGTGGTTCTGTGTGCGTTGTTTTTCATGTGTAGCTGTGCAGTGTGTGAGCTATTATTGTGTTAAGATCTGTGTGTGTAGTTCTCTATCAGCAGATGTTGCAGAAATGGCCAGCATGGTGGTCCAGCTCCTGGGCTTCTTCCTGTGTCTGTTGGGGCTTGTGGCTAGTGTAGTTGCTACGGTGCTCCCCGACTGGCGGCGGACTGCATATGTGGGCTATAACATCATCACAGCCACTGCCTACATGAAGGGGCTCTGGATGGAGTGTGTGTGGCACAACACAGGCATCTACCAGTGTGAAGTACACCGCTCAATGCTGGCTCTGCCACCTGACTTGCAGGTAGGAATAATTTGTTGATTGATTTGTTAATTGATTGATTGAATGGATTAATTTGAGCAACAGCCATTATGCCTTTCTCCTCCCTCGACCCTGCTCCCTCCCTCTAGGCAGCGCGGGCGTTGATGGTGCTATCCTGTCTGACCTCCACCCTGGCAGCCCTGGTGTCCTCTGCAGGGATGAAGTGTACCCGCTGTGCCCGAAGCTCCCCCACCAAGCACGCCCTGGCCATCAGCGGAGGGGTCTGCTTCCTGTCCGCAGGCATGCTCTGCCTTATCACTGTCTGCTGGACAACCAACGATGTCATCCTCGACTTCTACAACCCCATCCTACCTGAAGGTATTATTAATTATATCATTCCTGCTTTATTTAGTTGTATTGTATTAGAACTCAGCTTTTGCTTATAAATAACAAGACATTTTACTATGTGTTGCAGGTATGAAGTATGAGATTGGCATGGCTGTGTATTTGGGCTATGTCTCAGCCTGTCTGAGTCTGATGGGAGGGGCGGTGCTCTGTTGGAACTGTGAGGGGCGGCCCAGGAACCCCCTCCATCTACCTCGTCATCAACACCCTCCTCCTCCCCCTGTCTTCAGTACTTTAAACACCCCAGCACCCCCCTACTATCCCCCTGCCGCACTGAATGGCAACCGCACTCCCTCACGCACCTCAGCATCCAGCAGTGGCTACAGACTCAACGACTACGTCTGAGGGATGGAGTGAACACTCAATTATTGCTTTCTAGAAGTGGAAGTGGACACACTTAATGATTATGTTTGAATGTGGAATATAATACAGACTGATTGACTACGTCTAAGGGAGGTTCAAACTCAATGACTACAAAATAAAGACTCAAGTTACTTTTAAGTGAGGAAGTACACACTCAATGACTTTCCAGATGACCTCCAGAGAGTGAGTGAGGTTGAGTGTGGTTTACAGTATTGATGTTGTTCAGATTGTGTCCTTCCTCTCTAGGGCTTCTCCGAGGTAAAGCCCACAAGGTAATCCTGTCCTCTTTATCCTGTTGACTTTGTATGTTTACCCTAAGAATCGAGAAACACCCTTTTGAACATCAACAGCCTTATTCCCTGATACAAAATGAGCTTCCTTCATAAAGGCCTTTAGGACAATGATAGCATGTATGATAATGATAAGCCATATAGTTTTCTTTCAAATGTATTATTATTATTGGTTCCAGTTTCATAGCTCATAACTTCATGGCTGTTAGATGAACACAAATATATTTTTAACTGCACCAATTGTTGTGAAGCACTTCCTGTCTTCTCTATTATTTAATATATGTAAACTGCTTTATACTTCTACTGTTATTTTAAAATGCAAAGTCACCATGTTCCAACAGACTACGTTTGAGCTTGAGTGTGGTGGTAGGATAGGCTACTACTAACTACACTGAACAAAAATATAAATGCAAAGATTTTACTGAGTTACAGTTCATATAAGGAAATCAGTAAATTGAAATAAATTCATTAGGCCCTAATCTATTGATCTCACATGACTGGGAATACAGATATGCATCTGTTGGTCACAGATACCTTTTTAAAAAAGGTAGGTGCATGGATCAGAAAAGCAGTCAGTATCTGGTGTGACCATCATTTGCCTCATGCTGCACGACACATCTCCTTCACATAGAGTTGATCAGGCTGTTGATATGTGGCCAGTGGAATGTTGTCCCACTCCTCTTCAATTGCTGTGCGAAGTTGCTGGATATTGGCGGGAACTGGAACACGCTGTCGTACATGTCGATCCAGAACATCCCAAATCTGCTCAATGGGTGAAATGTCTGGTGGGTATGCAGGCCATGGAAGAACTGGGACATTTTCAGCTTCGATAAAATGCAATTGTGTTCGTTGTCCGTAGCTTATGCCTGTCCATACCATAAACCCACCGCCACCATGGGGCACTCTGTTCACAATGTTGACATCAGCAAACCGCTCGTCCACACACTGTCTGTCATCTGCCCGGTATGGTTGAAACTGGGATTCATCCGTGAAGAGCACACTTCCCCAGCGTGCCAGTGGCCATCGAAGGTGAGCATTTGCCCATTGAAGTCGGTTACGACACCGAACTGCAGTCAGTCAAGACCCTGGTGAGGACGATGAGCACACAGATGAGCTTCCCTGAGACGGTTTCTGGCAGTTTGTGCAGAAATTCTTCAGTTGTGCAAACCCAAAGTTTAATCGGCTGTCCAGGTGGCTGGTCTCAGATGATCCTGCAGGTGAAGAAGCCGGATGTGGTGGTCCTGGGCTGGCGGGGTTACATGTGGTCTGCGGCTGTGAGGCCGATTGGATGTACTGGCAAATTCTCTTAAACAATGTTGGAGGCAGCTTATGGTAGAGAAATGAGCATTCAATTCTCTTGTCACACAACACAATGCCACAGATGTCTCAAGTGTTGATGGAGTGTGCAATTGGCAAGCTGACTGCAGGAATGTCGACCAGAGCTGTTGCCAAACTGCACATTTTAGAGTGGCCTTTTATTGTCCCCAGCACAAGGTGCAGCTGTGTAATGATCATGCTTTTTAATCAGCTTCCTGTCAGGTGGATGGATTATCTTGGCAAAGGAGAAATGCTCACTAACAGGGATGTAAACCAAATTGTACACAACATTTTTGAGAAATAAGCTTTTTGTGCGTATGGGATATTTTATTTCAGCTCATGAAACATGGGACCAACACTTTAGTATATGTACAGTAGCCTACTGGGCCAAAGCACAAAAACGTATAGGAAATGTGATATGTGCAAGGCATACGATGACCACATGGGGGCCCCAGCAGCCTGTCTAGAAGGTGAGTGGCGTTCACTGTTCAAGGACTTCGGCTCCTCATTGCCTGGCTCATACCAAACTTGTCCTGAATGAAACAGGCAAGTAGCCAAAGCTGTGAGCTTAGAAAGTAGTTTTATGTATACAGTGACTAAATGAAAAGGTTCCTAGAATTTCCATCAAGTGGGTCCAATCCCCATCTCAGTAAGTCCAAGTCAAACTCACTTTAAAATTGAGTCTTTGAAACTTTTTTTGACTGTCGTTTTCAGTAAAGGCTGGCTTTTATCATTTTCACACTGCGTTTCGTTCTATCATTGTGATTTATTCTACCTGCGCTATTAGCCGCGACAGGCGCGTGGACATGTTTATGAGTTGTTTATGTATTCTAAAGCTATGGCTCCTGTCTCTAGCAGCCTGTCAACATAAAGCATGGTAAATTAGTCGGAGTTGTCGGCAGAACAGAGAAGTCAGCTGTCCGGTAGCCTATTTATTAAATTGGTCAACATGTTCAGTCTAAATACAATCTTCGATGTAAAAAGAAGTCCATTGCTCTTTGAAATTAGACAATGCCTTTATGAAATGTGCACTTTAATAGTATTATTGTACTTGCATTAAGTAAATTGCTTGAACAGACAGAAAACTGATAGATTGGATGGAAACGCCCTCAGACGCCGGTGCGTCTGTTTCCAAATTCCAGTACCATGGACAGCAATAGCAATCGCGTCTTTCTCCTCCAAATCCTTCACTGAGGATTGGCAAGCTGCCTATCCAATATCCTCACTGTAGCAATAACGCACGTCACACAGAGCTACTCAATGCACACGAAATTAACCCAATGTTGGTGTAGGTGTATAGCCTAATTTATGCATTTTAAGCATGTTTAATCTGACTGATTCTCGTTCCCGTTGGGCCCATGGCTATAATGTCAGACGCTATCCTGCAAAAGATGGCCCATGTTTCACCAGATAAATATATCATATAAACGTTATACGCCAACACTGGATGTAGCAAGACAGAGGCCGTCTATCGGACATTCTAACCGCCCACTGTCTCAATATTCTCACGCGTTAAAAGCATAGTGCTTCCATTTCCACTCAACTTGCGCCTGTGTGTACGTCAATCACGCCTAAATGAAACCTGGTGAGTTAACGGGTCCATTCCAACCGGATGATTTATAAGAAATTGCTCCCATGGGTGTGCATCATGCCATTCCCAATTAGTTGCTATTTCTGTCCTTACCTGGAAGACCTTCACTGGCTGCCTCTCCTTATTGATTAACAACCCCCCCCCCCCCCCCCCCCCCCCCCACACACACACACACACACACACACACAGCCCTTCTGGCGAACGGTGTATAAACCACACCGGGGAACTACGCACGGGTGGCGTGGATTACGTTGAGGTCTAACATATTTCCTTCTCTGGAAATGCAGTTGGACGCACTTTTAGAACCACCGGCCGACGTACATTGAAGAGCCAACTCTAAAGGTAGGAGGAAACCACTCTGTGCCCTGGATGGGGCACTCCCTCGTTCTCCAAACAGTTGTCTTTACATGTATTTTGTTTCAGACGGTTTGTTAATTAACTGTAGCCTAACTATGTCGACTCAGATTTCATTAAGTTACAGTAGAATAGCCATGAGCTGAAGTGTAGGTGTGTGTGAAAGAGTGGCGGATCTATGAAAGGAAGTCGATGTTACTGCTTTAGCCGCTCCTGAAAACCCCGCCGTCAGCAGGAATTATACCTGAAAGTGCTTCTTTGATTTTGTTGATGTGACAGAAAGAGACCCATCCGTTAGAATGTCTGGGATCTCTGCACTATATTTTTCTGTCTGGGCGCGCGCTCCGGGATGCGTAATGCGTATTTTACGCACATATCAAACCTTATTGTTCAACCCATAATCATTCTTGGGTGTATTATGTACATGATATTGGTCAACTTGTTGAAAATCAAACAGTCCACAAAATCTTCAACAAAGGAGTAGAAAAAGAGAGAGAGCGCACATGTCAAATATTATTGTTAGCCTACACAATTTAAAATTATTGTTAATCAGCCAATGATGCAATAACACATTTAAAGCTGTTTGTCTTAAGAAGATACACGTTTGATTGTGCGTCTGATGACTAGGCTTCTTCACCGGGAGTGGCTAGGTGGCTTCTGTTCTTCAACTCTCCATCCCTGGCGCAGATGTCAATGAAAAGCCGTTACTCGCACAAAGACTAATCACGGCAGTGGAAGAGGATGGCAGTCCACGCCGAGGGGATCGTAGCAATAGTGATCTTCTACTTGCTGATTCTGGCCGTGGGGATATGGGCCGCCTGGAAGAACAAGAACTCAGGGGTGTCGGAGGGTCAGGACCGCAGTGAAACCATCATGGTGGGCGGGAGGGACATCGGGTTGTTCGTCGGTGGATTCACCATGACGGGTGAGTTGTGACCTGGTTCAACTGCCTGGAGAGGCTGGTTTGGGGCATGGGGCCAATTCAGTTTTGAATTGAAAATATCCCATTGTTGTCTATAAGGCTGTTTTAAAATCATGAATAAAAAACTATTCTTGCTAAATTGACAGAAATAAAAACTGAATTGACCCCAGCCCTGTTGTTGGAGAGTAGTAGAGCATGTAGTACCTTGTTTGTTCAAATATTTCCGCTGTAAACTTTAGATGGGGGAATTTAAATCAGTCATGTTCCTCACATGACATAATTACAGCTGGCGTATAAAGACAGATGCCTCTGACTGTTTTTCCCGCACTCAGTCAGACCAGCACCGGACTAGTTTTACGCACGCTCCCATCAATTGTTACAATAGGTACTGGCGAAAATCAATTACCTAAATGTCAACGACGACAGCTGTTTCTATCGAATTAGAGTGGAGGCGAAAGAAACACACACCTATTTAGGCGAGGTGCTGGCTAACGGAGTAGAACACTTGAAAAAGAAAAGGAGAGCCGCACACTCTAGGAGCTCAGATGCAATAATTGAATAACCTAATAACCCTGATGAAGACAGCTTGTCTGTTGAAACGTTGGTTATTAGGTTATTAAATTATTGCATCTGAGCTCCTAGAGTGTGCGGCTCTCCTTTTCTATCGAATTGGAGAATACAATATTTTGACAGGCTATTTTAAATGCCCCAAGCATCATTAGCAGAATAAAAGCCCTGTTTTTGGGGAGAGCAACATTAATTGACACAAGAGTTAATTAAAGACCCAGAGCATTTCCTAACTAATGTCTTTGATGCTATTTTAATAACAGACCCCGGAGTTACGGGCTTTTATAGGAGCGAAAAGTAATCAATTATTTATTTTCCGCTAGTTAGAGAAATGCTAATTAAAATAATTGTAATTGATCTACGTGAACTGTTTCATATTAACTCAGCATCTGCATTTCATATTAATTTGATCTATTAACGTGGCATAACATCTAGATTATTAACGCTCTGTGATTTATTGACTAAATATAAAACGTTACCAATATACCAAATGTTATCAATATATTTGATTATAAGATATTGATTGTACAATTTATTAGTACAGTGTGGCTCTAAAATGAAGTCTATGGAAACACAACATTATAAAGACAATTCAACAATTTTATATGTTTTGTTTGTGTGTGCAAGGCTAAATAATGTGTGTTACATATTTGTATCTTGAACTGTGATGAACCTCTCCTTCAGCTACATGGGTGGGCGGCGGCTACATCAACGGGACGGCGGAATATGTCTACCTGCCTGACTTCGGCCTGGCCTGGGCACAGGCTCCCTTCGGATATGCCCTCAGTCTGGTAATAGGTAAGAACATGATAAATTAGTGTTCAACACTTTCTGTCTCCTATAGTGACCGAAGTTCCTTAATGATGTGTCTCTCTTGTGCTCCAGGTGGCCTGTTCTTCGCCAAGCCCATGCGCTCCCGGGGTTACGTCACCATGCTGGACCCGTTCCAGCAGATATATGGGAAGCGCATGGGGGGGCTGCTCTTCATTCCTGCGCTCATGGGGGAGATCTTCTGGTCCGCTGCCATCTTGTCAGCGCTGGGTAGGCCACAGTCAGAGAGTCAGGGTTGTGGACAATTCAATTTCAACATCATCAATTAAAAGGGAAAATCTTCATGGAAAATGGCATCTGATTGTGTATGTGTGTATGTCCATGTGTTTTGTCTAGGGGCTACTCTGAGTGTGATTGTGGACATTGATATCAACATGTCAGTGGTGATCTCAGCCCTAATAGCAATCTTCTACACCCTGGTGGGAGGGCTGTACTCTGTAGCCTACACTGACGTGGTCCAACTCTTCTGTATCTTCCTGGGACTGGTGAGTGTACCTGATTTGCCCAGCTCCACAAACCGGAAGAAAGGCAATTCACCTTTATTTCATCTGTCTTTCTCTCTCTCTCTGTCTGTCTGTCTGTGTCTCTCAGTGGGTCAGTGTGCCGTTTGCCCTGTCCAACCCAGCCGTGTCAAGCATCAGTGTGACAGCTAAAGAGGCTGTGTACCAGACACCTTGGCTGGGCAAGATAGACTCAGCAGACACCTGGATGTGGATCGACAACTTCTGTCTTCTGGTACATCATCAGTCACTATAATTAGCAGTAAATTATATTGACTATAATGTAATTATGGTTATGTTTGGAGTATATATTCACTATAAAGCTGTGTGTTGGTTTGTTTTGTATTGTGTGTATTGACTGTGGTGTTTCTGTCCCTAGATGTTGGGGGGGATTCCGTGGCAGGTGTATTTTCAACGGGTTCTCTCTGCCTCTTCGGCTACCTACGCCCAGGTTCTATCCTTTATTGCTGCCGCAGGCTGCCTGGTCATGGCTGTCCCCTCCGTCCTCATAGGAGCTATAGGAGCCTCCACAGGTACACACATGCACACACAAACACACACACACAAACACTTCCTCATTGAGTTAATGAAACATTACAAGACATTTTGTTCAAATATCCATGAGTCCACACATTATTTACTAAAGGAAAATATGATCAAAAAACACATCGTTCTCTATTAGCTTGTTCCCACAACGTAGTTCAGCTCAGATGTATAAACCAACAGGCAGGATACAGTGGGACGTAAACAACACCAGACGGCTCCTGTCATACAGCACGAAGAGGGAGATGTGACTTCTGTGAATATTACATCAGAAGGAAGACTAATTAATTAGGTTGATCTGAAGATTCTTCATCAAAGTTAATCGACAGCTGTTTGTTGAGGTCGAGAGGAGAGAGGGAAAGGGGGAGGGAGAGAGAGTGAGAGAGAGAGAGTGAGAGAGAGAGAGAGATAGAGAAAGAGATAGAGAGCAAGTGAGAGACTGACTGAGGATATGACTGAGAGTAGGTGTCACGGACGAGTGAGGAAACGGGGAAGGGAGGAGTGAAAGAATGGAGGGGGAGATAAGGTACTCAGATCTCAGATATGTTCTGATGGAGTGATGATTTATTCCTCTGCCTCTGCTGAGAGGCGGTATCTTTCCTGTCGAGAGACATGCAGTCCCTGTCATCACTGATTAAATGTTCAGAATAGTGTCTTAATATGGCTTCTAAACTAGACATATTACCTAAAAGCCAGATTCAATCACATATGCTGTACAGATTTGAGTACCCCTGGACATAACCTACCAGTCAACAGTTTGGACACGCCTTCTCATTCCAGGGTTTTTCTTTATTTTTACTATTTTCTACATTGTAGAATAAAAGTGAAGAAGTCAAAACTATGAAATAACACATGGAATCATGTAGTAACCAAAAAAGTGTTAAACAAATCAAAATATGTTTTATATTTGAGATTCTTCAAAGTAGCCACCCTTTGCCTTGATGACAGCTTTCCACACTCTTGGCATTCTCTCAACCAGCTTCATGAGGTAGTCACCTGGAATGCATTTCAATTAACAGGTGTGCCTTGTTAAAATTTAATTTGTGGAATTTCTTTCCTTCTTAATGCGTTTGAGCCAATCAGTTGTGTTGTGACAAGGTAGGGGTGGTATACAGAAGATAGCCCTATTTGGTAAAAGACCAAGTCCATATTATGGCAAGAACAGCTCAAATAAGCAAAGAGAAACAACAGTCCATCATTACTTTAAGACGTGAAGGTCAGTCAATCTGGAAAATTACAAGAACTTTGAAAAGTGCAGTCGCAAAAACGAACAAGCTCTATGGTGAAACTGGCTCTCATGAGGACCGCCACAGGAAAGGAAGACCCAGAGTTACCTCTGCTGCAGAGGATAAGTTCATTAGAGTTAACTGCACCTCAGATTGCAGCCCCAAAAAATGCTTCTCAGAGTTCAACTAACAGACACATCTCAACATCAACTGTTCAGAGGAGACTGTGTGAATCAGGCCTTCATGGTTGAATTGCTGTCTAAAATACATTTTGATTTGTTTAACACTTTTTTACTACATGATTCCATATGTGTTATTTCATAGTTTTGATGTCTTCACTATGATTCTACAATGTAGAAAATAGTTTTAAAAAATAAAGAAAAACCCTTGAATGAGTAGGTGTGTCCAAACTTTTGACTGGTACTGTATACATTTTATAAAGCCTGTCCATATACATTTTGGTCTAAAAGTATGTAAACTACTAGCTTTGACTGTTGTCTTCCCCAGATTGGAACCAGACTACATATGGGGCAATTCCTCCCAAAGAGAAGGACCAATCAGATATGATCCTGCCCATCGTGCTGCAGCACTTGTGCCCGCCCTGGATCTCCTTCTTTGGTCTGGGGGCAGTGTCTGCTGCTGTGATGTCATCAGCTGACTCCTCCATTCTATCGGCCAGTTCCATGTTCGCCAGAAACATCTACCAGCTGGCCTTCAGACAGTCTGTGAGGTCACACACACACACACACCACACACAGAGATGCAAAAATTCAACACTAAAGTCGTGTTTCTGTTTCTGAAAATAAAGCTTTTTCAGTAAATAATTCAGTCGTAACGATCCCAAAAAGTTTTTGTCTTCTGTTAATAAGTCACTGCCAAATATTCAAATCTAATTATTCAATATGCAGGTTTCTATTACAAACTAATATCTAACACAAACTACACTGTTTTATTTATGTATTTAAATGTTTACGTAGGTTATTTGCACATATTCAAATACATTAAACAGAAGAGGGAGGAACGAAAATAGAAATGTTCAGAAAATAGAAAAACTGAAACAGTCTTTTCTCTCCTCCCCCATAGGCGACAGACCGTGAGATCGTGTGGGTGATGCGTATCACCATCTTCGTGTTTGGAGCTCTCGCCACCGCCATGGCGTTGCTAACAGGGACCGTGTACGGCCTGTGGTACCTGAGCTCTGACCTGGTGTACGTCATCATCTTCCCCCAGCTGCTCAGCGTGCTCTTCATCAAGGGAACCAACACTTACGGCTCGGTGGCCGGCTATGTCTTCGGTCTGCTGCTGCGTATCGGGGGAGGGGAGCCCTACCTCAAACTACCCCCCTTTATCTACTACCCCGGCTGGGTGCAACAGGAGAAGATCCACCACCTGACTGGAGACGTGGAGTACTTCATCCAGCAGCGCTTCCCCTTTAAAACGGTTTCCATGCTGGCCTCGTTCCTGGGTAACGTGGCCTTCTCCTACCTGCTCAAGTACCTGTTTGAGTCTGGGACTCTGTCTCATAAGTATGACTTCATGGATGCTGTTGTGTCCAAACACAGTAAGGAGATCATGGACAAGACCACGCTGGTCAGTAATGACATCATCATCCTGTCGGAGATGGCGCCGGTCAAAACACGCCTCAGCAACTCAATGGTGGGGACATTTACGAACACAGAGGCTCTCAGTGACGATGAGGAGTCCAGCCCCGAGTCCTTAAACAACGACCACGAATAGAGACCAGGACCAGGACCCAAAGCCAGACCTGGACCCAGAACCAAGTAGAACCAAGGCCAGGGGTGGCCAGCCCTCCTGGAGAGCTACCCTCCTGCAGATCTTTGCTCCAGCCCTGCTCTAACATACCTGATGCTATTAATCAGCTGCTCAACAGGATCTTGAACAGCTTAACCAGGTGTGCTACAGTAGGGCTAGAGAAAAAGCCTGCATTTTCCCAATAGCTCTCCAACAGAAGGGTTAGCCAGCCCTAATATAGAGCCTTTAACCCAGACCCAGAGCAGGTTTGTCTAGCCATCCAACACCCTCATGTTCTCATCATATCAACCACTGACTGACTCTCTGTAAATCAAACACCACCACCATTTTAGTTTACTGTTCTCAGTGCTGCTACTGTAAATGGAGTTAATGTATAGGTAAGGTAATCAGAGTATAACTCATCTCGGTTAACCCAGAATTTTAATATTGCGTAATTTCAGCTGCGTGATTAAATTCAGGATCTATACGTGTTAGAAATTGAGAGTTTTCTGTTTGCGAAGTCTTGACCCTTGCAAAATGAAACTCTCAGCCAAAGCACATGTGTGAAGTAGTTGAAGCAAAGCCGTTTAAGCACCGCCTTTACCCAATCCTGATACGTCCAAATAACCAGTGACGAAAACCCAAACATCGGAACTACTGCTGCTCATTGTCCCATGCACCCCTTCGCAACAGATTCTACGGTTTGCAGGCAGATATCTGTCCACAAGAGATTACAGATAACTGTCTGTCTGTCTGTCTGTCTGTCTGTCTCTCTAGGGAGGTCTGAGAGGGACTCCAGCCCAGAGGGTGAAGAGAATAGTGCAATATTTAAGTGTATGTGTGTGTGTTTGTGTGTGTTTGTGCAAATTCATTTCCATTAGGTATGTGTGTCGGAAATCGTCTTTCAATTATTTCCTAATGTACTTAGAATTAATTTACTAATAGAGCAATAATGATTTTAGGGTCTATGCTGTACATAGATCTAGATATGGATACCAGTCATTCAAAACCATTGATTGTTTTTTAAATCTTGAGAACAAATAGATTTCAAGCTCTTTTTAAATTGTGTGCTATTAATCCAATTTACACACAATCACCATGTACAGGTTAAAATACTCAGTACTAACATTATTTTAATAGTAACTGTATTTGAACAGGTTTGAAAAGCCAAACCCAAATTCTGTTCCATGTTGTTCATGTGCCAAAACCCTCCTTTTTGCAGGTGTAGAGGTTCAATACTGTGCTGTTGTGTTGGAGGGGAACGCTTGCTTTATTTCAAAGTCCTATTTCAGATTATATGGGCCAGATTTTTACTGAGAAACTACAGTATTTTTCAGTAATATAGGTGAACAAGCCTTTAATGCTTTATTAATAGGTGTCCTGGTTGAAATTGGACCTAGCTGTGGCTTTAATGAGTCCATCTGCTTCCCAAATTACACCCTATTCCCTATATAGTGCACTACTTTTGGCCAGAGCCACATAAGGTTAGGGAGGGAATAAGGTGCCATTTGGCCCCATGATGGTTTGTTTCCCTCTAAACTGTCATTGACTGCAGAGCGGCAGCAGAGCGGCAGGGGGGCTTGTGATTGCTCCTCCAGGGATCGTATCAATAACCCGTTGGCACAATCGATTCAATTCCGCGATGTCCGCGATGTCCGTCTGCCCCCGCTCTGTCCACTCTGTCCGTCTGCCCCGAGAACATTTGATTTGTGTTCTAAGCTGGTTATGAGCTGAGACAGGAAAATAACAGCACTGGTTGTTTTGGTGTCAGTGGTAATGATTGGAAGCAGAGCTGGTCCTATGCTGAGTGAATTAGCTACCTATCTGTTATCACAGTTATTACAGTTTGATGGGTGAATGCTGAGGAAGGTCTGTTGCCCAAAATGTTGGTCAGAGAAAACAGAATGGCAAAATGCAGATTTGAGATTGTGATGGGAAATGCATTCAAACCATTGATTGTTTTTTAAATCTTGAGAACAAATAGATTTCAAGCTCTTTTTAAATTGTGTGCTATTAATCCAATTTACACACAATCACCATGTACAGGTTAAAATACTCAGTGCTAACATTATTTTAATAGTAACTGTATTTGAACAGGTTTGAAAAGCCAAACCCAAATTCTGTTCCATGTTGTTCATGTGCCAAAACCCTCCTTTCTGCAGGTGTAGAGGTTCAATACTGTGCTGTTGTGTTGGAGGGGAACGCTTGCTTTATTTCAAAGTCCTATTTCAGATTATATGGGCCAGATTTTTACTGAGAAACTACAGTATTTTTCAGTAATATAGGTGAACAAGCCTTTAATGCTTTATTAATAGGTGTCCTGGTTGAAATTGGACCTAGCTGTGACTTTAATGAGTCCATCTGCTTCCCAAATTACACCCTATTCCCTATATAGTGCACTACTTTTGGCCAGAGCCACATAAGGTTAGGGAGGGAATAATGTGCCATTTGGCCCCATGATGGTTTGTTTCCCTCTAAACTGTCATTGACTGCAGAGCGGCAGGGGGGCTTGTGATTGCTCCTCCAGGGATCGTATCAATAACCCGTTGGCACAATCGATTCAATTCCGCGATTCAATGCCCCGAGAACATTTGATTTGTGTTCTAAGCTGGTTATGAGCTGAGACAGGAAAATAACAGCACTGGTTGTTTTGGTGTCAGTGGTAATGATTGGAAGCAGAGCTGGTCCTATGCTGAGTGAATTAGCTACCTATCTGTTATCACAGTTATTACAGTTTGATGGGTGAATGCTGAGGAAGGTCTGTTGACCGAAACGTTGGTCAGAGAAAACAGAATGGCAAAATGCAGATTTGAGATTGTGATGGGAAATGCAGTTGTTATTTGATGTTGTTGAGTATTTCTGTTCTCTGGTTGACTCCTCTTACAGTATTTGCTGGTAAAGTCTGCTGGTGTCTACAATCTTAAATTATAGTTTGAATCTGTTGGAATCTGTTGAATTATGGCCTTAATTTGGGTAGTATTGGGAGCTGGTCTGATGCTATTCAAAGTGTCAGAGTGGAATTGTGTGTCCAGGCAATCTGTAAAAAATTTGAATGTAAAGTCTCCTCTCCTTCACCCAGGAGACTGACTCTGTGCTGTTTTATCTTCTATAACTGGAAAATAAATCTGTTTAAACAAAGAATAATAAACATAATCATGACAGTTGCTCGACTGGCTATACTAAATGTGGTTCTATGTTGTAAATAGCAATTAATATTTTTGTGTGATACATGTACAGTATATCCCAACAAAGTCAGCATATGAACAAATGGAATATACTTTTTAATGCAACGTTAGAAATGATTTATCCATTTGGTGAGGAGAAATAACAGCTAAGAATATATTTATTATTTATTCAGTGTCTATAAAAATGATGGTGATGAATATGTGAGGTAAATAAATTATATTATTTAGCAAATTGATCATTTGTCTTTCATTCGTTTTGTATATTACATATAACCAGTGTCGTGAGAGCTTTATCTGTACACAGCTAGTATAAAGAGAGTGCTGACTGGCTGTTTCTATAGCTCTGGGTAGCGCACCGCGGTAAGCGAGACTGACTTACAATTTGATGACCCATGGTCTTGCCTTTTCTCTCTAAACTATCTATTCAGCTCCAGTGAGTTATTTTTATTCATGAGTGCCCTACCTCTGTGATCTCCATTCAGGGCATCAAACCCACTCTTTAGTGAACAGTGAATAGACAGACATACCTCAATCTGATTTCTCTGCTGATATGCCAATATGTCAAGAGTGTGTTGGCAGGTTTGACAGCGGTGATGGTTATTATTTTCTGTGGTGGTCTTTGATTGATGCCTCTCTCCAGAACCCCAGATTAAACACTCTACTGGTCAATCACACACACATCTGACAGCCTGCCAAACAAACAAACAAACACAAAAACACACACACGACAGCCTTCTGTGATGCCAAACCAGACCATAAAGTATACTGACACACCTGACCTGGTCTGAATACAAGACCTCCTCCCATGCCCTGCCCCTATCTGACCCCTGATCCAGTTGGCTCATTCATTTCATGAACCTTGGTTGGAGTGTGAAATAGAGACAGACTGTGTGTTTGTTCTCCCCTCCACCCCTGGATCATGAACTCATCACAGAGGACTGGGAAACCGAAGGTCGAACCGCTCCGTCAGGATAATTAAACACAGAGACAGTGGGTGGTGAGTGTGTCTGATGGTGTGAGTTTGTGTGCATGTGTAGGTCTCAATGTAATGCTGGTGTTCGGCAGTCCTGATTCAAAACACATGGGGAAACACTGATGAACATTGGACTTCTCTTTACATACCCTTCAGGCTAACATCACAGTGGTATCACTCACACCCATGCAGGCACCTAATGGACTAACACAATGGAAGTATTCAGAGCCCTTGACTTTTTCCACATTTTGTTATGCTACAGCCTTATTCTAAAATGGATTTTAAAAAATTAAATCCACAGCAATCTACACACAAATCTTCATAATGACAAAGTGAAAATAGGTTTTTACAAATTTTTGCAAATGTATAAAAACTAAAAACTGAAATACCATATTTACATAAGTATTCAGACCCTTTGCTATGAGACTCGAAATTGAGCTCAGGTGCATCCTGTTTCCATTGATCATCCTTGAGATGTTTCTACAACTTGATTGGAGTCCACCTTTGGTCAATTAAATTGATTGGACATGATTTGGAAAGGCACACACCTGTCTATATAAGGTCCCACAGTTGACAGTGCATGTCAGAGCAAAAACCAAGCCATGAGGTCGAAGAAATTGTCCGTAGAGCTCCGAGACAGGATTGTGTCGAGGCACAGATCTGGGGAAGGGTACCAAAAAGTGTGTGCAGCATTGAAGGTCCCCAAGAACACAGTGGCCTCCATCATTCTTAAATGGAAGAAGTTTGGAACAACCAAGACTCTTCCTAGAGCTGGCCGCCCGGCCAAACTGAGCAATCGGGGGAGAAGGGCCTTGGTCAGGGAGTTC